GCTTTAGTCATAAATTAATCAAATTCAGCAGAATCAGTTGATTTGGCCAATTTCAATGCTACCAAACAAACCCTTAGGTTATAGATAATCTTTAATGTTAGTTAGGATATGAAAAGTTACCTAATTAATTATCATTTTATCTGACATTTTTATGATTACATTCGGGGGTGTACATAGTTATTTCGATTTGTATAATAGTGATAATATATTTTTTCAAATAAGAAAATATTTAATGAAAATATTGTTCACATAAATTTTTATTTGCATATGTAAAATAGTCTTGTATAATATCACACAAATCCTCATATTTTTAACATTTATAAGTATATACGAGTACTTCATTTAATTTTCAGTGTTGATTTATTAATTTGCGTGTATGCTGATACTTCTAATTTGACGGATCTAGAACATTTGCCTTGCTTTGGGCCCTCCTATCAAAAAAACACATTTTGAGACACTTTCTTCCCCATATGTCCGTTGGTTGCCGCGCAAGAGTGCACAAGAGGATCTCAATCCTAATTTGACAGCCAAATTATACCGTAGGATCGTTAGTATTGGATTAAAAATTTCTCAGAAAATCAATTTTTTCACAGGCTTAGAGAAGCGACCTTTCTTTGGTCGCACGCATAGCGGCCTCATCTGGAATCTCGCTATGTGGTCGCAAATCGAAGCGCCACCGTCACTGCTAGGGATTCAGACCTCGAAGGTGGATCAACGTTGCAAGATATGAAGCTCCATCGTCGCGGGCATCTCCGCCGTTCCCTTTAGCCGCGAGATCAGATGTGAAGCCCGTTTGATTCCCTGTGTGCGTAGATGCTTAACTGGTTTGAACACCGTATGTGAAGGCAGTGGAGGACTAAGGGGGCTAGGGGGCAACTGCCCCGCATCGGGTCCAGAAATTAGATAGTACTCCTTCTATCCCGAAAAGGTTGGCCAAAGTTGACTTTCAAAGTAAAAATTGTGTGGTTGAAATATGTGCAAAGGAGAGAGAATTAATTTTAGGCACATATTCCTTACTTTAAATGGAAATGGCAAAAAAACATCCAAAAAATGAAATTTGGCCAACCTTTTCGGGACGGAGGGAGTACTATTGAATTTCTGGACCCGAATGTCCCATTCAGACCCATGAATTGATGAGTTTCCCCTGTTAACAGACTCACATTTTGATCGGTGCTAAGTTACAATTGCTTTAACCTGATTTACATCTCAATATGTCTTGAGTTACGTTTCCTTAGAAGCAAATTACATTACAACTGCACCGAATCACATTTTAATTAATGTAATTTACACTTTTTATTTCAACAATTTATCTTGCTTGAAGTTACATTTTAATATATGTGATTTACATTTCATATATCTCATATAAGAGAATAACCATTGGAGGGAGTAAAGTCACATTTTAGTGTATGAGTTACATTTACTAATAAGTGAGATTCATATCATAGGAATGTGAGTTACATTTTAATGCACACTATTTACATCGCAAATAATCCTGAGCCAAAAATTATGGTTATTGTTCATCCACGTTTTTATATATTAAATGATGTTTTTTTACTAATGGGAGTATCATGCTCACCGTGTGATGCTCCCACGGTATAGCAACTCAATTTGACACCTTCAAGTATTTAGTTTTCTACAATTATTACATTCAAATTAACATTGATCACTCAATTGAATCATACTTTGTATACAAGATCGTGACATTTGAGTATAATATGACTTTTCCTCATTGACGACTATCTATATCCCAAGGATGAGTGTTGATGACAACATTCTTGATTGAGATAAGATTCGAACATGTGACTTTCTCTTTGAGAGATCAATAATAACGTCATCAGACCACAAAGTACTAAGCTAATATTTGGGGAAAAATAATTAAAATACTTCAAACTTTGAAGAAGTGTGAGATGAGCGATCCAAACTTGCATATGTAATTAAATACTCCAAACTTTGTATAAAAAGTTATATTAGCACCATAGTCAAATATTATTTCTTTAAAAAATAAAAAATTATGGCGTTAATTGCATGATTTAAAATATTTTAATTAGAATTCATGAAGACACAATTAACATTCTAAACTTCCATTGTGATATAAATAAGGCTAAAGGGTCAAATAGGTACATGAACTAACTTAAAGTGTTCAATTAGCCCTTTATTTAGGAAGTTCTGTCCGTCCGTCACCAATTGGGGCGGTTCCCGATGGAATTTTTTGATGAAATTTTTTGAGCATTTTATTCATTAAATCTAGTTTACTCATATCAAATTTCAGCTAAAAATTAAGTAGGGAAGGCAGTCATGATTTTCCGAAATGTATTGCGCTGTTTAATTGCACAGTTATCTTCAAACAATCATTTGACTGTCTTCCCGGTTGAATTTTTAGCTGAAATTTGGTATGCGTAAACTAGACTTAATGAAGAAGATGCTCAAAAAACTTCATCAAAAAATTCCACCGGGAACCGCCCTAATTGGCAACGGCCGAGCAGAATCTCCTATATAAGGGGCTAATTGAACACTTTAAGTTAGTTCATGTATCTATTTGACCCTTTAGCCTATAAATAATGTTACCCTCAATCTATATAATTGCAACACTTTTAATTTGTTGTTTTAAATTATGCAATAGTTATATTAGCACCATAGTCAAGTATTATTTCTTTAAAAAATAAAAATTTATGGTGTTAATTGCATAATTTAAAATACTTTAGAATTCATGAAGACACAATTAACATTCTAAACTTCCATTGTGAAATAAATAATGTTACCCTCAATCTATATAATTGCAGCACTTTTAATTTGTTGTTTTAAATTATGCAATAGTTATATTAGCACCATAGTCAAGTATTATTTCTTTAAAAAATAAAAATTTATGGTGTTAATTGCATAATTTAAAATATTTTAGAATTCATGAAGACACAATTAACATTCTAAACTTCCATTGTGAAATAAGTAATGTTATCCTCAATCTATATAATTGCAACACTTTTAATTTGTTGTTTTAAATTATGCAATTAAACTATAAACTTACATTTTTGAAAAAAAAAACAATACATGACAATGGTGTGAAAATCATTTTTTATATAAAGTTTGAGGTATTTAAATTACATATGCAAGTTTGAGTTGTTTATCTCACGTCTCTTCAAAGTTTGGGGTATTTTTATTATTTTTCCTCTTAAAAAATGATGTAATTTTATTATTTTGTATACTTTTTAATGGAAAACGCCTATATTAAACTCATAGAAACAAACATCCAAACATCAAACTTTCTTACTACCATTCAAATCTTTCTTCTAGACACCATATAGTCAATAGACATCTCACTCCTTTATCAGACATAGAATAGACTACTCAATAATGAGCAAGACTAATCGTTGAACATGCGAGTGATTCAAAATTATTATTAACCAGATTAGTCTGGTTGTTTTGACTCATTCTCACAACAAAACACACTCACAACTCACTATTATTAACCGAATAAAAAAGTACGAAATAGAAAAAAATAAAATTTGAATGAAAAATAGAGCACAAGAGCGCGAGTGACCAAATCCAACTGTGGAAGGTCGACCTCTGATCCCTGACTCCGCAGTCGCTCCAAGGTGGTGGTTCAGAAAAGGGACGGACCGTCAATATTGTAACAAATTCACATCTCATCATACATTCTCATCTCCAATCACTTTCTGTCTCTTGCATATCATCGTTCATCATGATTGGAACAAATAGGTTCTAATTTTTGCATGTCAAAGTTTCCATCTCACCTATTGTGTTGCTCTCCATCTTCCTGTTACTCTTTCATTGAAGAAGCTAAACAACAACTAGACGCCGACGACTTTGCCCGACTCCAAATCTCTAAGCTGACGACCTAGCGAGACTCCAAAACCCTAACACATGAAGGCGTTCACATGATCACATCCACTATAACTTTTATATTATCTCATCTAATACTAGTATACTATTAACCCTACAATAACCACGTGTCTATCTTCCAAGTTCCAAAAGCATTTGGATGGCTAACAAACTAGCAAGCTATGGTAAAATATCAATTTATCAAATGGGTTTGATGCACCAAATCATTTCGTGAAATATAAATTCGACGCATTAGCTTCTGTGATTTAAAAAATGCATCAAACCCTCATGTATTTTATTTATTTATGCGCAAAATCTCTTCCTATAACAAAATATGATTGAATATGAAAATAACTTTGCAAAGTTTCTAATCAATTTTCATTTATTTGACAATTAAAATTTGTTCATAGAATGAATTTTGCGCATGAATAACTATAAATCTATAACACATGGAAGATTATCGCATTTTTTTAACACATGATAAAGGGTTTAGTGCATTAAACCCTATCAAATAGAACCTCTACTGTAGAGTGCAGAACCAAACTTTTAGTTCTACTCCGTATCATATTTTGTAAATGAACAAGCTTTCACGTTCGATTGAATTTTACCAACTTCCACTTTTTGATTATCCCAAAAACTCCAACACTTTCTCCTCTTTGTTTATAATTAATTAATTTATAATTCCAATCGTTTATCACTTTATCTACTCTTTGCACAAATATCAAATAACTTAAAAAATTTCACTTTTTAATTTCTCACCTTATTCAAAATGTTCAGTGACTTCAGTCCACTGTAACGAAAGTAATACTCCGTGTTCCGTAATATTTTTCACAATAATGATGTCAAACTTATAGTTCAAATTATTCCATGTCCTAGTGTCCTACACATTAATTTTTATTTTATTTTTACTTTTATTTTTCTGTATATGAGTTACGTTAAGTTTTAGAACGAGTGTCAAAATTAAGAATATGAGTACAAAATCTCAAAAGCAAATATCAAGTTCGTGTTCTAAAAATGAGCAGCTGGGGAATAACTTGACTAGTCCCTCAGAAAACAAAAAACAAACATAATTTAATTTCAGACATACCCTCGTCATTTTCCAAACAAGGGGTTTGAGGCTTTCAGTACGAATATATATAGACAACATATGCCGAAGCCTATAAAGCAATTGAAACAGCCACTAATTGCATTTCCATGACCAAAACACACAATCATTCCAGGAATCCAGGTGTCTCGCCATTTCAAGGAGGAATCAAAGAAGAGTAAATAAGTTAACTGAAAAATCTTGATCACGAAATGTCATAGGTTAACCTCGAATAAACAAAGATCCTATGATCATGGGAAACAAGTATACACTGTATAATAATTGATCAAAAACATAGTATAGCATTGAAATTCAACTCAACTGCACCAAAAAAACATTCTAACCAAACGCGGTTACTTTGATCCAGCAAATTTGCCCATCATTTTTGTAATAACTGGAGCTAGCTTGGGGTTCGCTTGGTGCTTGGCGAGATTGGCAGGGTTCTTCATCACTGAAAAATGAAACATTTAAAAGGAATGGATATTTGTATCATATCATCAATAAAGCCTTACTTCACTCTAGAGAAGATAGCTTCAAATGTTTCCTGAATATATCAAGAATTGCCAGGTCACCAATCAACATGTTTATAGTTCAAAAGATGGACATGTGCCCTCAGTGTAGGGAACGTCACTGGTTTTACAATTAAACACAAGACAGCCAGGCACTAGACAATGAAAGTGCGGGCAGAAGGAAATACGAGGGGCACTGGTGAGGTGCAAATGTATGAATGGTAGCAGTGATATATTTCCTGTATTAAGAATTTCTGACAAGAAAATGCCAAGGTAAGACAGCACACACTAACAACAACAAATTTGCAAAGGCAGAAAGACACAAAGTATGCAAGTGGAATGAAATTGAGAAAAACAAACTTTTCTATCAATCCTTGACTTTTAGACTATGTAACTAATCTGATTCAACACTTTCTTGTGTCAAGAGCATATAGACTTGGACCAAGTCCATAGTTTGAACTTTGAACCAACGTACCTCTAGCCTCTAGGTCAACTAAAATAATTATTCAATCCAATCAGGCTCATTTCTGATTTCGAAAAACTGCACACTAGTTATATGTAGACATACATCCTAACATGAAATGCATATATTAGGGCAATGTAGTTACCATCTTGAAGAGCAGCCATAACTTCTGGATCTTTAAATGCAGCCATTAGTTCCGGGTCCTGATATTTCAACAATAAAGTGATGATATAATTAATTACCATGCTAGATGGAACTGCTAGAAACTATTAAAAGAATGCAGCAGAAAAGAAGATATGAAGAGAATGGTTGGATTCAAGTATTACTTCATACTTATTATGGGTGAAGACAGACCATAGCTAACTTTTATTAGAATATAAACGGAATGCTTACATTCAGTATTTTGCTGTAATCAATGTTTCCTGGCATCCCACCAGGCATGTTTCCTGGAAAACCACTCGGCATTCCACCAGGGACAGAACCACCCATACCAGCGGGAAAACCACCTGGCATGCCACCACCCATGCCTGCTGGAAACCCTCCTGGCATGCCACCACCCATGCCTGCTGGAAATCCTCCTGGCATGCCACCACCCATGCCAGCTGGAAACCCTCCTGGCATTCCACCAGGTCTCCTACTTGATGATGACTGCTCTTGTTTTTTAGCCTTTTCATAAGCAGCCTGAATACACAACAGAAATATTAATACCCTAAAAAAAATATGGTTACACTTCTAAAAGTGTAAGTATGCGCTAATGTAGTTTTGCCTGAGCTTCAGCTTTTCTGCGCTGCCTCTCACGCTCAATTCTTCTATCTTCTCTTTCTTTACGCATCCTATCATATTTCCTCCGGTGCTCTTCAATTTTGTGTGCATTCGGCTCAACCTACAACCATAATTAATCCAATAAATGTGACAGCTACATCTGTAAATTAGAAGTTAATATCATCACAGTATTAAATAAAAAGTGTATACACAAAAGCCAAAACAGCAGAGGGGGATGTCAAGAAACTAGGAATGTAGGATGCTGACCTTTTTAAGTACACAACTTATCTCCTCATCATAGTCGAGCTTTGAAGCCATGTGAAGATCCTTTGCAGCCTTTTCCCATTCTCCTAGCATAGCTTGAGCAATGCCTCGTGATTTATACCCTTTGGCAGAATCAGGATTAATCTGTAGCAACACATGAAAATTACTTTGCATAAAAAGATAACAAATATCACCTGCCCGCACCATTAAACAACTATATATGTCTTCGGTTAATTCATCATCATCATTATCATTACCCCAGTGCCGCAGAGGCTCCCACCTCGGTGGGGTAAGGGGGTCAGATGTACACAGTCTTACCCCTGTACTAAAGCACAAAGAGATCGTTTCCGAATGACCCATACTGAAAATCGCGTCAAAAATTGCATGGACTAAATGTTGCTTCATAACAGAGAAACGCAGACAGTTTAGTGAGCCAATTTGCTTTATTACATCATATTCCCAAGCCAAAAAATAGTGAATCTTTGGCTCCATTGCAAATGATGGAAAACTTCAGTTAATTATATTTTCAAAATAACTACATCGCACCAGGTGCTTGATAAGTCAAGAAAGCATGAAATATGTCTTCTATAAAAAGACCAAGAAAAGACCAGTCAGGGAAAGCAAAAACAGAATTTCAACCATGCATCACGCAATAACATGCATACATACATAATAAATGGATTTGGACATATACAACTACAGGTTGATTCCAAACCCTGATTTGTATAATTGAAATTCAAATCTTAATAAACAACAAAAGAGTTAGTTAAATGAAAACCTCTAGAGCAGCTGTCGCATCTCGAATGGCAGCATTGGGCTTTTTCATTTTGATATACACACTAGCTGTAAAACAACACATAAGAAACAACATGATTACACATAAATATTACTACCTCCGTCCAATTTTATGTGTCTTGTTTTGCTCTGGCACAATTATTAATAAGGTGGTTGAAAAAGTAAAGTTGTGGTTGAGATTTGAGTATACTAAAGTCAAATGTTGTGGGCCACATATTTCTTTTCAAAAAAGGATATATAACACTTATTTTGGGACAACTCAAAAAGGAAAGTAAGACAGGTAAAATGGGACGGATGGAGTAGAATGCATCGTATTGAATTATAAGAAAGCTAAATACAAGAGAAGTTTACCTCTAGTAGCATACATAATAGCTGAAGTTGGATTGAGTATTATTGCTTTAGTGAGATTATCGATTGCTTCTCCCAACTTGCCTGATTGAAGTAAAGAAGTTAAACATTTGAAAAAATGTTAGATTGTTATTTCATTATGTATCTTAAATACAACTATACATGAACAAAAACGGTGGCAATATAACCTTCAGAAAGTGCTTCCATGGCCTGAGCTTTGGCCTCTTGAGAAGAATCACGATTTTCCTCAGTAACCTCGACTGAAGGATCTCCCATCTACATCCATTGATTAATACCCACGATATCAAAATAAAACATACATCAAAATTAGAAGTTGAAAACTGAATATCACACTATAATTCCTGACCTGCTGGGGAGGGTCGTTGTCTGCCTCCACAACATAACTCTCATCAAGCTCAACATCAGATTCTACTATTTCAGGCTCCTCTTCTTCATTGGTATCACCCATATCCTCATCACTTTCTTCTACCACGTGAGACTTCTGAGCAAATAAATTATTTTCCTCAACACTTAGTACTATAAAAAGGGGGGGGGGGATATATAACATTCTCAACTCTCGAGTTCTTTTTACACACATATAATAATAATATAAAAGAAACGGAAATTGATGTAGTTTTGCTTATGGTTGTTGGGTTCCCTCCTTAATTGTGAATTCCAGGAGAATTCTTAAATATTAAGAGGAATATTCTAAAACATTGTGAAGTTCTCTAAAGTGTGGAACTTTCTAGAACCGTGTGAAAGCTGGACAATCTGAAACAATGTAGAGTGATTGAGATTCTTCCAGAAAATTGTAGAACCTTGTGGGTACATTTTGGAAGCCACTAGAAGCATAGAACAGAAGAAAATTTGATGGTAATTTCTTGTATTAGAGATTAGTATATATAGGGGTGAGACCGTGAGTGTGCTCATTCAATAGCATTCTAAAAGATCAGTATTAAAAGATGAAGAGTGAGAGACTCCTTGAATGAGGCCCAAGGGTGTATTGTGATGAATGCGGGTGAAGATCTTATGTTGGGCTTGAGGAGACAATCCTAGAAGGAGGCTACTCAAAGTGACTGAGGGAGGGTGAACAAGTGAGGTAAGCTACTCGTTTGTTTGTAAAGTTTCTTATACATTTTATTTGTTTTTTTTTAATTCAAAATAAGTACAGGAGAGGGGACCAAACCTATACCTCTTAGTAGAGTCATTCCTCTAAAAATACATGAACATAAAGAAAACGCATGAAATAAACATTTTATTTGTATAATACAAAGCCAGATTATCAAATTGAGTCTGTGTTATGTGTGTGTGAGAGAGAGAGTGTAATTGTTTGAGAGCTTGTGTGACCGGGAAGAGGCAGGCTTACCGATTTTCATGTAGGATACCGATAGATGTTCGAGGAAACAAAAAGAAAAGAAATTTTCAAAACAGTTTAGACCATACCGCTTTGTGCTCTTCATGCTTGTAAGCTTCAGCAGGAAGCTCTCCGCCAATGCTGAATAGCACGACATAAATAAAATCCAATCACAGTGAACAAGAGAATCGAAGTCAACAACACCAAAACAGTAAACACTGAATAATAATTAATAATAACAATAGCAATGAGTTTCTATGTTTTGAGAAATCCATGGCATTCATAGCCAAACGTAGAGTATGGATGTATACACAAACCTTTCGATATAGTCGCGGAAGAAGTCAAAAGAAGGATCGGAGAGAATGGAGGGGTTGGACTTGCACTCTTCAATGAATTTCTTCAATTGCTTGAGATTTTCGGCGTCCATGCTTTACTATAGCTTTACTATGCGGTAAAGGAGAGGAAGAAACGCTCTGATGCTGAGAGTAAAACGGCGGTTTGGTTCCAAAACGCTAAAGTACCGCCTCTGGGAGGCCGACAGGGAATGAAATGCAAAGTCGCTTAGCAGGGTTGGAGGGTAAGTCTCTACTGGGCGCTTCTAGTAGCTTCTACACTTTCTCGATAGCTCATCGGCTATGTAGCACCGATACCAGTAAAACAAAAAAAGTATCATATTTATAAATATTAAAAGTTATGGAGGTGTATTTACAAATATTGAAAGTTACAGGGATGTATTTATAAATATTAAAAATAGATTTTTTTGGAAATATATACATATAATATCCTATGAAATATACAAAAATAATAATTTTTTGGATATATATATCCTATATATACATATATACTCATTCATTACATATACATCATAATATTTCTCATATACACTAGTGCATCTCGAAATATAAATGTAGACATGTAGTCGATAAGTCATTAATTTAAAATGAGAAATAAGTCAAACAACTACAATCTTGAAATTAAAAGTGCAAGTACCAAAGTTCTAGAATAATTAAGATATAAAACAATATTTTAAAAACATATACTGCTTAGAAGCTCATGATAAAAGACGAATATTCTTATGAACAAATACCAAATCCTCCGCTCGCTTTGAAAGCAGTTTGTTTCTTCTAAATGAATTAATAAAAGAATAAGAACTCTCATTCCTTTCTGAGCATGATGATGAAGTAGGTTGTCCTAGTATTTTGAAAGCTAATTTTTGAAGAAAAGGTGCATTAGAACCAAAGCATGCCCACCACTTCTTAGGTTCCATGTAATATCTGCTTGCAATAGATTCAGGATCCTCAAATTTTGGGTTTTTTTTATTCAAAAAAGTTGATACGGGTATCCGTCAGGATACGAGTATCGGAAACTTTCAAAAAATTACAAAAAAAATGGAAACTTTTAAAAATTACAGATACGGCCCGGGAACGTACGGTACGGGTATCCTAGAGTATCGGATACGGGAACGTATCCGATACGCCGATACGCTACCCTAGGGAAGTATCCGTGCTTCATAGCTCATCGGCTTCAAATAATTTTATTTTAAAATAAAGTCACCATCGATAAAGTCTTATTTAGTACTATCTTCGTTCTTAAATAAGTGTAACATGTGAAATTTTACACTATTCACATGTTCTACTTTGACTATATTTTATTTATTGATGTATTAATATATATTTTTGAAAAATATATTATTAAATTTGTCTCGTTATAAATTTTCAAAAACTATTTTTTTAAAATTTTTTACTAATAGAGAATTATATATTAATGGTCAAATTTGTGTCTCGTCAAGTGTGAAATGTTGACTGGTGCACTTATTTAAGAACGAAGGAAGTACTTCATCCCTTCTTGAGTTTTCCAGATAAACAATTTTGATCATTAATACGGGAGAATATTTTGTAATATTAAAAAAATTAAAATTTACAATATGACAACTTTAACAATGTTTTTTAAAATTATTAATATACTAGCTTTCAAGCATGTGCATCGTATGTAATTTAGCTAATTTGAAATTTAATTTCTATCGGATCACATATAATGTGATTTAAAAAAAAATAAACTTAGTCTAATATAGTCTGTTTGATAATACTAAAGTAAATAGAATTAACTTATTTTGCTGAAATTGATTGAATTCTGGTTAAATAGGTGGAATCTTCTGAATCATGAAAAATATATGTGAAATATATTTCTTTTGTGAAACAAAGAAAAAAAAATATGAAAAAAAGTTAAATTGGTCTTCCACATAAGCATCTCAAGTAAACATAATTGTTACGAACCCAATAATAATAAAAAGTTCCATATTTCTTAATTGTTAGATCTTACAGTTTACTCATTAATAAGAACGTTTTTAATTGAATTAAAATTTCGGGTTTAATTTGGTATGAATTAATATGGTCTATTAGATGTCTATTTTTTATGTGACTTATTGTTATAATTATTAAAGTTTATTGTGATTTGATTTAATCTGGAACTGAAATCAATCCAATTAAAAGCATTCTATTAAAATAAAAGTAGGAATTCGTAAACCTATAAAGATTTTCTAATTTGGATTATGAATCTTTTTCAAAACTGAAGGCATATTTGAATTTTAGGTGTAAAATAAAGAAACGACCAAAAAAATTACTTATTTGGCTAAGCTAAACATATTTACTTGTGAAAATATATATACTTTATGTTGGTTATAATTTTTAATTTCATTTTTAATTATTTACTTATTTGAAGCTTACTAATTTATTAATAGGTGTCAAATTAATAAGTAAACTAATTTGCATATTTGTTTCTATTTAATTCGGTGTAGTAAACCAATATAAATTAGTTTCCATATCAATAAACGTTATTAGAATTTCACTTTGATAACCAAAACTTATTTTACTTATTTGAAGCTTACCAAATTAATTAAGGTGGATTTATAAAGATTTTTGTTTCCATATCGACATGCAATCAAAAATAGAATCTAATAAAAACAAAAGGTATAAAAATAAGTAAATAATTGTTATATATAATGACATAGCGAGATTATGTGGCGTTTTGTATGCTCTTAAAAAGTTCCTCTTTTGTGTATATATATATATATATACACACACACACACACATACATATATACATATATATATATATATATATATGTGTGTAATCAAAGTAGAATATGTAAATATGTACCATAGGCTCTCCCATATTGCTCCCCTTAACCCCTGGGGTAGAACAAAATTAAGGGATAATTGATATCAATATTACTACAAATGAACTCATTTACAAAATAGTGACCTTTTTTAAAAGATCCCAAAAATGTGACCCGTTACGGTGCCTCGCTACAGTGACAATGCTACAATGATGAATGTCACAGTGACTTATATCACAATTATATCCTTCAGTTACATGACGAAAGTAACTAATATTATTATAGTGACTAACATTACATTACAATTAAATTAATGACAAATACAATTTTACAGTTACAATTATATTAGTGACAATTACATTTTTACAGTTACAGTTACATGCTTGTCCGTCACAACCGTTCACCGCCCCGTCCCACCAACGCCTGTGGAAGTTGTACCTGCTAAAATTGGCCATGAGAAGGAGAAGGAAGAAGAGAAGAAGGAAGAGGTGGAGGCAACCCCAATTCAGCCCGTTCCAGTCAAAGCTCACTGCCCACCCATCCCATTCCCGCAACGCTTGAAGGGAAAGAATGATACCGAGGACTTCAATAAGTTTCTGAATCTCTTCATGGAGGTTCAGATTAACTTACCATTCATGGATGCGCTGCAACAAATGCCAAGATATGCCAAATTTATGAAAAAACTTCTCTCTAACAAAAGAAACTGGGGAGAACCGAAATCAGTGGTGCTTAATGAGGAGTGTTCAGCGGTGGTGTTGAAAGAGATGCCTAAAAAGCTCAAGAACCCAGGTAAGTTCACTATCCCTTGCTCCATAGGAAGTGAGATTTTTGATAATGTGTTAGCTGATTTGGGTGCAAGCATCAATTTGATGCCTTATTCCTTGTATGATAAGCTTGCACTCGGTCCGCTTAAACCAGCATGTATGTGCATACAGCTGGCTGACCGATCGGTCAAATATCTCAAGGGGATTGCTGAAGACGTGTTGGTTAGAGTGGACAAATTTGTGATTCCTGTCGATTTTGTTGTCTTAGATATGCCCCAAGATCTTGATGTATCCTTAATTCTTGTAAGGCCTTTTATGGCCACTGCTCGGGCCCTCATAGATGTTGGGGAAGGGAAATTGATTTTGAGAGTTGGGGAGGAGAGAGTCGCTTTTTGTATGGCCAAACTGCCAAGAGAGTCCTGTCGATCCATTAGTGACTGTTATTTTCTTGACATCATGGACCCACCAGTGGAGGAGAGAGGGAAACCTCCACCTCCTAAAGAGACTGATGTTGACCCCTTTTAGACAGAGGGCCTCATAAAGGCCTGGACCCACTTTTATGCTTTAATTGTGAACCTGCGATGAACAACTGCTTTCATGAATTTAAGGTCTTACGCCACCTCATGGCATTTGTTGATAGGATGTTTGATATATGGAGGACTAATTTTCTGAGTGGGAGCATCTTTAATTGAGTCTAAGTGGGGTAGTTGCATCAGGCAAACGACGTTAAAAATAGCGTTTCTTGGGAGGCAACTCAAGCTTTTTTCTGCACATTTGTTTTTTTGTTTGCTTTCAGAAACCCCCCTCCAAAAAAGGGGGTGTTTTTTTTGTTTGTGTATTTGTTTGCTTTGTTTTTTTTTTGCAGCTCAAAAGTTGCTTTTGGAATGATGTGTCGAGGTTTACAAATTGACTCAGTTTTAATCAGCACCGACCAGCGCTATAGGGAAGTTTTCATGACTCTTTTTCGCCCGTTTGTAATAATTGACTTGAGTTGAGTTGAGCACGTGTGAGCCTTTCCTCTATACCCCCTGTGCATAGTGCATTTTTGGCCATCGAGAGTGATGCCAAAGTTTAAGTGGGGAAAGTGAATTGGGCATTCGGGCAGTAATTATTACATGAGATTATTAGAGTTAACCGGTGTTAGTTGTATATTTATAGAAATTTCATGTCAACTTTTTTAAAATTTTCTTTAAACTGTGTCTTTGTGAGCTGGCAAGTGTGTTAACTATGCTTTTAGAACATTTTCGAAGTGTTTAGGATTAAATTGCTTGCACTATAATCTAGTTTTTGAGAGGATGAAGGCATTAGTCACCCAGTGAATACATAAATCATCCAATCATTCACCCCACCTGAATAAGTCATTTAGGAGAAGTCACTTTGAGCCTTATCATTTTATTCTTTACCCCAATTAATTGAGCTCCATAGCTAAATGGCATGTGTTTCCTTACATGTGAATAATTCTGACAAAGTTTAGATGTTTAGGAAACTAGGGGATTAATTTGTTAAATTTAGGAAGTTTTGGTAGGAGCCACTTTTGGCACTGTTCCTGTCACGCCCCGGACCTACCCGAACACGTTGACAACCCGCCGTACAACACGAATAGTCAACCACAACCAACACATCCATATTCTACAAGGCGTCTCAAATATCAATTACACACAATCATCCATAAATGAACATAATAAGCAATTTAATAAGGAGCGGAAAACATAGTTTGAATACCAATGCCACACGTGGCAAACATGAGCACGCAGACTCTGTAATA